TCTAATCTGATTTTCACAGGTAGAGTGTTGCATACAACCAAAAAGGCATTTAAATGCCTTTGGGAATTCAGAAGAGTAGTTGTTCTGCCTGTAAAGGGCTGAAGGAATGCAGCTGACATTGGCTTGATGAGAATAAAAGAAGAAAGACCATGCTTTGATGTTTTTAAGAGAAGGAAAATAGTACTCTCCATGATTACAGTGATGCTATCTCATTGAAAACCACATTCTTAAATATTCCAGTGTGCAGTAAAAAATATTCCAGTACATCATATATTCCCCTCCTCCACTTAAATAGTATCAAATGCATGTCACTGGATTATTTTTTCTTTTACATGTTAAAAGAAAGAAATGGAGAAGAGAGTATGGACAGTATTACCTAGCTCCTAGTTTCCTACCCTGAGGTCCAAGGATGGGTTTCAGGTCATAACCTCCATAAACTATATGCAAAACCTGTGTGTCAACCTTTTTCTGGGTAGAGAGTCCTTAGCATGTCAAATTCTCAAATGAGTTCAAGAGAATGAATGAAGGTTAGATGGTGCAAAATACTTCTAGAGACCATAAACCTTGGTGATGGGCCACTGTCAGACTGCCACAGGAAGTACCCATGGGCTCGTCACCTCCTGCCAAGTTCAAAACCAGCTTGGGCAACATAGTGAGACCCTATCTCTACAAAAATAAAAAATAAATAGCCAAGGCAAGCTAGTGAACCTGAAGGTTGATGCTCCTCACAGTGAGTCCTAAGTGAAGACCCTGGAGAGGTCTAAGAAATGGTGTAATAATGAAACCTACAGGAGAAAGGCAAATAATGACCATCACCCAACACTGAAGTACTCTCTAAGTAATCATTTTCTAATACTGTTATCTTTGCTAAGTTACCAGCAACATTTTAAAATAGTGTGGCATGTGTCTATTGGGTCTTTACATTTACCTTGTTCTGAGATATGATTGGCTTTATAAAAATCTCGACAGTGTTGAGGTGTGTCACTCAGTAATGGTGCTCATTTACCTCTCTCTAAAACCCAGAGAATGATTCCAGACACCCCAGCCTTTTACAAATGATGGTTTGATGGCTGAATTAGAGAACACTTGCAGAAGTGCCTGGAGATATTTCCAAGAAAATTAAACCTTGACACCACATCCTCATTACTGTCAGTCCACCAGCTAGACTATTAAAGCTCAATGTACATATAACCAGTCTCTCACCTGTTTTCAAATTGGAGAATTCATAAGGCATTTTCATTCTATCAGAAGGACCCTTGAACTTAAAGAATCTGGAAATCCTCTGTTGTTATTATGAGCATTTCATTTTACCTCTATTTGCTACTGACCCCAAAAGAGTGTTCCAAGTTACTTTATCATATACATTTATGTAACCATTATCCAACATTATTTGGTCAAGGTCATTCATGAGGGCAAAAACATCCCCAGTAGAAAGAGATGGGTTATGTTACAAACCTGCTGTTAACCTTTCCTTTCCAATAATAAACTCTAGACAAAGGTCAGGGACTTTGTTTTAGTCACTGCCTGGCAATTAACAGGTAGTCGCTAAATATTTGTTAAATAAATAAATGAAACTCTAGGATGTCAATAATGCATGGCAGTCACAATCTTACTGATATCATTTTGAAATGCTGGTGGAACTTGAACTGGTTAAAATTACTAGTTGGAAATATACATACAATCTAATAATTTGAAAATCATTTTAAGCTAGTTTCAAACACATTTTGGACAATGTTAGTATTTTGCATACATATAATGTACCAAATGTTATCTTTTTGTGTGTTATCTTAAAAATTGCATTTTTAATTAAAAATAATTTTATTGTATTTTCTAATTACAAAAGCAATACATATTAGTTGCATTTTTAGCATGATTTTATTAATCCAGGAGATAAACATTTCTCCAGAGAAATGCATCTCTTGGTTTACACTTATAATAAAAATCAATGAGAAACAAAGTATTCAAAAAAATCCACTGTCCCTTAACATCATTATTTTCCTTTTACAGAAGACAGATATCTACATTCTGGAAAATTAAAATTAACTTAAACTAATATGACATTAGACTTAAAAGGTCTACCTATCTAAATTCTACAAAAAAAAAAAAAAAAACCCGACAACACAAACTATATTACATTCTGATTAAATACATGCAAACAGTGACATGAAAACTCAAAAATGCCTTACATGGATAGAATAAATAACTAAATATAAACATTGTTTGATCATCAAAAGACAGTTTTTGATGCAGAGAGAAATCCATATCACAACAAAATCATTACAGTACAGCATGTGGTAGGCAGCCAGATGAAAATCATCTGCTACTTAAGAAGCCTTCCTGAAGGCAGCTTTGTGCATAGAAAAGAAGCTCCTAGTTGCTGGATGCTGAACTGCCTGCAGCCCAGCTCATCACATCTTAGGTAACAGAGTCCTGTATCATCCACAGTATAAAAGAACCATTTGAGAAAAGCTACATTTCGTTACTTTTCTTGCTACTCACCCTTTTGCCCAGCAAGTGAGCATTTGAGTGAAAAGGAAAAAAAAAAAAGAAAGAAAGAAAAGTAAAGCTACAAACATACTATTCTTTAAAAAAAATAGACTTTCCTTGCAAGATATAATATCCTGTGGGGATTCCATATGCTCTTCAGGAACAGTGACATGTCAAAATCACATTTACAGAGATACATTCATACATTTGACAATCACTAGGGAAGAGTTATCTAATTTGTCTGTAAGGGAAAGCAGATGACTAATGCACTGAGGCGCTGGTCCATGACCCCGTCACCCTCACTTTTACATGAGAGACCAGTGACCACAATAGTGACAAGTGGCCAAGAGGCAGGTATCAGGAGACTACTGCCCTCCAAATCACAGCCACAGCTCTCTCAAGGACTGCATCAGAGTGACAGAGCCCACAGAGAGGCAGGTCTCCTTCCACCTGTTCTGAAGCCAAAACACTCCCTGATCGGGAGCTTTCTTGACTTACTCATGTGATATACATGGCACTCTACTTTTCTCTCTAGCCCACGTTCCCAACCACCTGGGAGAACCACATCAGCCCCACCTTGATGCATGAGAGGCACATGCATCAAGTTGAAAATACAGTAGCTACAAAAGGAAACTTAGAAGATAGGTACCCATTTCGGGGAGTCTTGCAGTCAGATCCTGTCCTGAAGGGCCTGGAACAAGAAAAAGTTCTTTAAATGAAAAGGTTGCTACTGACACTGTTCTTCTATCACTGCAGAAGATGTTTTAGGGACTGAATTTCTCAGAAGACTCTCCATTCAGCTGATTTGTCTCTTGCTTCCAATGTGGCAAATGGTACCTGCTAGTATATGTATATTAGACTCTAGCCTGCTCGCCTGGAACAGATGCAGAGACCAGCTCTTACCTTCTCACTTGAAAAGTACATCTGAAGAAGTGCATTTGCACTTCAGGCAAAAAAGAGCCAGCAAAGGATGCAGACAGTCACAGCTAGGATGTTAAATGCCTATACAGAATGAGATTGACCGACTTGGACCAAACCCAGCAAAGAGATGACAAAAAGTCATTGGTTCAGGTTGCTAAATGTTTTGAGGCACAGGAAAGTTAAATTTTTCAGTGTAACTGATATTCCCATTAGGCAGGAGGGGAGGAAATGTGGTGGCGTTTCTCCAGGCCTCGTTTTGGTGGCCCCCCAAAGTCCAGTTCCCACTTAACTTCCTGTTCTAGCCTCTGTGGAGCTGACATCCCAAGCTTTTCAGTAGATCCCAGTCCTTTGGAGAGGTGTGGCCTGAACATCCACATCATTAGCAAGGAAACATGGGGGATGCTGCGGAGGGGCGTCTGTGCACAGCCAGCGTGGTCTCTGCTGCCTACAAGCCAGAGAGGAAGAGACACAAAGCTATTACACCACCGCCAAGCAGCGAACATAAAAGTAGAGCAGAATCTTTCCCCTACCTTCCCTCCTCCCTCAACCTCCTCATTCCCACATCCATACACATGCATGAATACACTGGCGTGCCTACACACACACCTTGACTCTGGGGAGTCAGGCAAACTCGAATGGCGTAGTCATGGGCTTCTTTCCCTGAGGAGCTGACCTCGTGACCATATTGGACCAGGCACTCCTTTCAGACCTGGACCATAAGCTACATATCCAAGATATGGAGCAGAAGCAGTCAGGATCCCTCTGGTAGAAGGAGATCGTGTAGGCTATGTCAGCCAAAACACCATGCCAATAAAGTGACACTGTAATCAGGGGCTACTTGGCTTCTGAGGAGGGTCCCTACTGTTGTAGTTATACGAGTCCATTCTGAAATCAGTCATTAGAGCAGATCAACTTCTTCCTAGTAACTGGCATCTAACATTTTACCTTGTGGGGAATTTTTCCCCTAGCATGGTGCTTCTCGAATGTTAAATGTGCATATGAATCACCTGGTGGTCCTGGTAAAACGAGGATTCTGACTCAGGAGGTCTGGGATGCGGCCTGGGATTCTGCATTTCTAATGAGCTTCTGGTCTTTAAGGTAACAAGGAATAAGGCATGAGAAGGGTAAAACAATCCCATCTGTATTTCTTGTCTCAAAAGAAATTAAGTGCTGTTTTATACCCGTGACCATAATCTCTTTAGAAATGGGCAAATCACATTTTAGGAGGAACAGTCTACTAAGTGCTAAAAAATCTCCAAAAGTTTTCTTTATAATAAATAACATGAGTTACATATTGCTAATGGGAATTACTGCATAGTGCAGTGAAATGTAATTGTTTCTTAATTCTTGCATAAGTGCCAACAGGTACACATTAACTATTGAAGTTCATGTGCTTTCCATAATGTTCTTCCTGTCTTCCCCAGAAGGTGGCAGAAGAGAGCCATGGATACACCATGATCTTCAATTACAGTGAGAACTCGTGGCTTATCTTGAATCTGAATCCTTGTGCAGCATAAGGCAAAGTTTTAGGGGTGGGGAAGGGATGAGAAACACAACTGAAAATACTAAACAAAAAACCAGAAGCCTTCTGATAGGTTCAAGTTACTCAACAATTTTATTTACCCATTCTACACACACACACACACAAAAACACATTTCAAATACAGTTATGCACACTTTAAATGGATCTGAGTGGCATACTTTGTTATCAGTGTCACCCAATTAAATCAGAATGTTGCTAAAGACTTATGTTCCTACTTTCAATAGAGCAGTGCCTAGGAAATCTGCAGTAGAACTCTATTCCTAGGCTTCCCAATCTGACCCATTCCCATTCAACCCAGAGATGCTCAGCCCCACATAGCAAAAGCATCACCATACCAGCGTAAGTTGATCTTCTTGTTACGTCAACATAATATAAAATGTACATAAGCAATTCAGATACAAAAACATTGCATAGGTAAACATTGGTCACAGATATCCAGTGAAAGGCTTACTGGAAATAATACTTTTGCCAACCCTTAAAATCAATTTTTAAATGCCAAATTTTCTGCTCATTTTTACTTACTAGATTAAGTGTTAAAGCCAAATGCATGGCTGACTAAAAATAGCAGCCCTATCCAATGGAATACAACATTCCAGAACAGGGTAAGCTGGCGACACAGAAGCTTCAGAAACGAACAGCGGAACTGAAGTTCTGCCCTAAAGCAGGGGACTGGATGAGATGACTTCAAGTAAAGGTAACAACTCCAGGCTCTAAACAGGCATTCCCTTAGCTGAGTTCACAAAATACCATAAAAGTGATGTATAACCTTTATCTTTTACAAAATGATGAGAATTTGGCCACTACTGTATAAGAAATGTCTATTTAAAATCATATCCCCTATAAAGAAAACATGTGGAGTGCTTAATTCCTTTCTTTGTTAGACACATTTAATAGAGAATTACCATAATGTACATACACTTCAGTGGATACAATCAGAAAGCAGGCAGACTGTGAGCTTACAGACCCTATAACGTTAGTCAGGCAACACCCAGATTTTACTAGTCTATCAGTCAGCTCACGGACACTACTAGAGTCTGTCAGTCAGTCAACACATAGACATTACTAGAGTCTGTCAGTCAGTCAACACATAGACACCACTAGAGTCTGTCAGTGACAAACAGATCCTACTAGTCTATCAGTTGGTCAACATATAGACACTACCAGAGTCTGTCAGTCAGCACACAGACACTGAAGTCAGTCAGCACAGAGATCCAACTAGAGACAGTCTCCTGGACAGTATGGGTCTAAATTAAATCCCTGGACACACTTCTGATATCTGTGTCACCTTCAGGGAAAGTCAATTCTACCCCACCAGTGTTGCAACCTGACTCAGTTGTTATATATTTTCAATAAGTCAAAATACATACTAGAAAAGCTGGGTAAATCTGTCAAATTTCTTGACAGTGAACACAACGTGGCTTACAGGCTTGGCAAAGACAATGGAATGTGCATAAGATTACATAACCCAGATACAATTCTTCTGATTACTGGATACTTTTTCCCTTGCCCATTGGCCACTCCAACCACCAATGAGTTTCTGTCAATTAAGATCTCCTGCTCACAAAAAAAAAAGAAAAAAAAAAGTAACATAGATGAATTTATTTCCAAACAGCTATATCATATGTTTCTTCAAAATGCCAGTGTCTCTGAAGACCAAATGTGGGTTGCAAAGAGGATTACCCAGATCCTCATATGGAATACTCACCCATTCAGTCTAGGGGTACAAATATATTGTGTCCTTAACTCCAACTTCTTCGGAAACAAACAAACAATAACAACAACAACAGAACACCAGAGGCAAAGATATAGGGCAGATCCCTAGTACCATGCAAGTTTCTAGAAGCTTGTCTTATTCTACTTTACAACTCAATGTAAAATCATCCCTTTACCAAAACACAACAACAATACAGATAAGAGCTAAATTCCAATTTAGGGATTAGGAGATAAGAAGAGAAGCAGGCTCTCTAAATCTGCTTTAGAATTCTCTTTCAAATCTGTCATAGACTTGAAGCAAGAATAAGAAAACAGAATAATTTCCCCTTCCCCACTTTAGACAAGTAAATTTTTAAAAAAATTTTTTTAGAGGTGAGGTCTCACTATTTTGCCCAGGCTGGTCTCAAGTGATCCTCTGGCCTCAGCCTCCCAAGTATCTGGGATTACAGGTATAAGCCACAGCAACTGGCTTCTTCCAGTAGATTAAATGCTAATGTCTTTACCTATTTCTCACAAAACAAAACTTACAGCTTCAGCAGAGAGTACTTTAAGTCCATTTTTATTTTGTAGGACTTGTGACAGACATAACCATAGTAATGTATACAGACTACCAATATGCATTCAAGTAAGAAAACCAGGAGAGAAAAGATGAGAAGTAGAGATGAAACTTCTCTAAAATTTGGAGTAAGAGCTCTTTTCCATTCTACATTCTCCTGGCTTCTTCCTGCTGGACTTTTCTGAAGGGATCTTGCTTTAGAAACTAAAGGATGCTGAAGCCCTTGCTTTTCAAATTCCAATTTCTCATGTCCTGTCTGAGGATAAGACCACCTCAGCTCCTCTTCTGGAGAAAGCAAACTAGCACGGGGGAGAGTGGGGAAATAGTGGCAGGCTGAGAGCCACAGTGAACATCCCATGACCTGTCTCTAACGCTGGGGTTAATGACAGATTAACACAATGCTAGCTTGTTAGAGAAGTCCCCTCTTGCTAGGAGTAGGTACAGTGTTAATCCAAAGTCTGTGGAAAAGTGCTCCCTCCTCTCATTCACTAGCTCTGAATTACTCTCACCTCACAGCAGAAGAAAGGCTGAATGCCCATTTGGGCTACAGATGCCAGCATCCAAGCGAATGTAGACAATGCAATCTTGTAAAAGTGCCAAACATGCCTCCCCAACCATATCTCATTCTCACGTTGGTGGTGGTGGGGGCATCCCCATCCCCTAATCCTTGTAGTCTCATAGCCATAGGACAACAGGAAAGTCAGGAGAAGCGATGTGATGGTGAACACTTCTAGACTCAGAGTGTTGCTATAATGTAAATGTCCACTTGTTATAAATTACATGTCCTGTCTCTTAAAATAACCTTCCTCTGGGCAAGGACCTTTTCTTCTACTTCTATGTATCTTTCCCCTATCCCTGCCCGCACTGGCCCAAAGCTCCACAAAGACACTAAGTACACGTTATATAACCACTAAACAAGAATAGCAGGTTACTTAACATATTGGACACAATTTTGAGAAGAATCTACGTAAGCAGCCTTTAGAAGCTGGCTGTGGTATCCTACTTGGGATACATGAGTAAAGGACTTGGGGTCAGGAGTCAGTTGCCAGTGAAGACAACCTTTATCATCCTGCAGGGTCTGTACCTCTCCCCAGGGTGCTTAAAATCCAGAGGCAATTATTTAATTCAGTGATTTGTTCCACATCACTCAGCAATGTAAAGGGTTAAAGATGGGACTAGAACCTAGAATAACCCTCAAACACAGCAGCCTGCCTTCCAGGGGGTTATATCATTTAACATTATGATCTGCTCAAACATCAAACCCAAAGAACTGTCCTTTCAGGATGATGAGGAATTCAGAATTCCTAGGCTGACACTTTTTTCTGAGGAACTATTATCCCAGTATTTTTCCACCTAACTTTCTAAGGTGGAGTTCTTAACCCGGGCTATGAATCAGAATCATCCGGGAAGCTACTTAAATACATGCAAGTCCAGACCCAGACCCCAAAGATTCTGAGTCAGTATTAAGCATAAGGTAGACACAGACATGTTTATGATTCAACAATTCTAAAGGAGATTCTAAGGAAAACTCCTGGATGAGAACGACAGCAAAAAGTCTTCCATTACCAAATGAAAACACCCTTGGAAAACAGCTAACTTCTTCTCACTGGCTACCTCTAAAAGACAAGCTGATAACTTTCAGGTGGGGAGTCACCTATCTCTTTTTAAAATCCCATAAGAACCCTAAACTTGCCTCCCAAAAAAACATACATATATTTGTACATTTTGCAGGCAAAATTGGGAAAGAGGATAAGCCATCAAGGTCATCAAGGGGCTAAGAATTTCTTCCCTGAAGATTTTACGTTTAACCCTACAAAGAAAATGAAATGACAGAAATGAATAGAGAAATACAAACAGTTAAGAGCTACATCCCACAGGGTTCCAAGGACTTCTCTGGACATCAAGATGAGATAGTTTCTCCTTATGAACAAAAGAATACTCCAATGAGAGAGATTAAATTCATCATCAAGCTTTTCCACATTTGGGGGAAAAAAGTGCTCATATAAAAACTATTGTGTTTTGATGTTTATTTCTTCTAAAGGAGAGTGTGCTGAAAGTATTCAAAAATAAGCAGTTTTAGTGAACTCTTCTCTGCCTCTTGCCTTGAGCAATTCAAACATCAGTGGTGACTCCTGAATCTAACTGCCCTTCTAAACAGCCCCAGAGGATACTGGATTGGCAGGAAAAGTTGCTGTGATTGGCAAGGAACCTGGGAGCCATGGGAGAAAAGATATGACTACTCACCAAGAGTCCTGTAAGAGCTAGAGCCCACGCTACTCTCCTAAACCCCACTCTGCGGACCTCAAAAGACCCAGGCCTGACTAAGTTAAAAATAAAAACCAAGACATTTCCCACATGCTCAGAGCCAGATTCCCCCAGGGCAACGAAGACTTAGGACTGTTTCTCATGAAAGGAGGCAAGAACTCTCACCCTATGTCCACTTGCAAGCTCGAGAATATTCTGTGGATGTTCTGTAGCCTAGGCTGGCCCTTGCAGGACCTAGCTGGAGAGAAAGAGAGAAAGGAAAGGAAAGACTCCTCCAGTCCAGATCCATTTAGACCCACTGCAGAAAGCATCAACTGGGCCAGACTTGTCTCTTGCCAATCACCCCTTCCTTCCTAGACAGACACCACAATGTCATGCATTACACTGGACAATCCAGAGGGGACATGAAAGTGGGGAAAGAAAGCAGTCAAGTAAGGACTGTGAGGAAAACACACAATGAAGAGACGAAAGTGAAGGAAAAATAGACTTTTGTCCCCGCACTGCTCACCCGCCCTCCATCCCCCAACACTTCACCAACACGAGGACATTAGTGAAGTAAGACACCAGAGAACAGAGAGAAGAACCAAGAGTGTGGGGCATGCTCAGCCCCAAGGGGGCCTTTTTCCTCCTCCTCCAGACCATCCCATCTGATAATCTGTCCTAAAAGACTCAATTTGCTAACTTGCCCCTGGGTGGAAAGATGTTTCAAACTGGAGAACAGCTAAAGTTGTCCTATAAACACGTAACCTCATGTTCTGTGTTAAGATTCATGGTGAAGTGTCAGGGGTGGGGGTGGAGGGAGGAAGTTAAATGACTCCTTGGTGATTAGTGGCAAAGGCAGGAGGCCAGGGCTGGAGGGAAACACACGGTTACACCACCGGAATGCTGACTTGGGTCTTCGGCTAGTCGGCCCCTTCTTGCAAGTCCTGGGCACGGAGAGGGCTGAGGGGCTTGAGGGGCCGGCTCCCAACACTGTAATTTCTTGGACGCCTTATTGTATTCGAACTGGACAGAGGCGTAAAGCTGTTCCTTCTCATCCTTACAGGGGTTTGGTTCTTGGGGAAGTTGTTCTGATTGGAAATGGAGGGACACCACACAAATGAAAGCCAAGCCAAAAGCTCACTCATACAGTTAATAATGCGCTTGTAACCACAACAGCTTCCCTCACTCCTGCTCCTCTGCACAGAGGCTCCCTCATAGGCACGGGCCATGGTCTGGCCTCCTAGCATCAGGGAGCTAAAAGGGAGAAGCTTCTTGAGCATAACATTCTAAAGCAGGAAAAAGACCCAAAGAAAGGAAGGGGCTTATTGAAGACCACACAGATTACCAGGGACCGACTTAGGAACGAACCTACACCTCCTGACCCTCACCTTATAGGCTCCTCTGGACTCTGCTTTCCAAAGGGACACTTGGGGTTGGAGCGGGGTGGTAATTTGCATTTCACTTCAGCCAAACACTTTCCATATTTAATTGAATTTCCAGGAGCCAGCATTCAAGGTTAAGACTCATGAAAGGGGTACTAATTTTAAAAAATAATAATTCCAACATCACTTTCAGACGTAGCAAACTATGTTGGAAGTAAGTTCTGAATCTGTTTCCCTTTTGTACATAAAAGAAACCCCAGACTCTTGATGCCAAAGCTTCAAAGACTCAAGGTGGCAGGGAAACTGGCATGGTCATCGTGGGAAAATACTTACAGTTGGCTTGTCACGGTGCGTGTTCACGGCCTCCACGTTAAGTTTAATTGTTTCCACTTTGCACCCTGAGAAAACAGAGGAAAGAGAGGACTTAAGGAAAAAGGTTCAATGGAAAATTCCTTAGTTTCATTATGGGAAAGTATACCACAAAGGAATGTATGCATTTTGCAATACACATGGTCATGCATACATCCCTTTCAAAACAGAAGGCACTGATGGAGCTTCCCTGGTGTATAGGGATAATGACGCTGAACTCTAGACAAACCTTAGAGAAAATTCTGACCTTCCTCAATTCCCAGCTCCCGCCAGCCCCTATGCGCATAGTTACCGTAGGCCACAGGAGTAAGTTTGAAGATGGTATGGAGAGGGCATCTCAAGTATGGTAGCTCATCTGAAAACAGAAAGACCAGGTGAGGGAAGTCTCTTAGTATTATGGAGTAAGGTCAAGTTAGTGGAAGAGACAATCTACAGAGCTCATGAGTTTCCCTTACTCTGACCACCTCTTAGAGTTGTACAACTCCTCCCTTAAACTCCAGACCACAAAGCCACCCAACCTTCTGAGTGGCTAAGGAAGGAAATAAGGCCATCTTAGATCCTTCCATGCAGGCAAAACAGGAAGAAGTACTGTAGCCAGAGAGCCCAATGGAAGGGGTTCACCTGCGTACAGCAAAGGCCCGTAATACCTGGCCACAACAGCTTCCCAGCAGCTCAGGATGCTGAGCTCAGCCTCCACAATGCAGGCTTCCCAGGAGCTCTGGAAGATCGGGAAGGGAAGTATGGAAGAAGGCAGCGGCACCTTCTTACTTCCCTTACCCAGAAACAACTGCTGCTTCTAAGATACCACCCTCCTAGTAAGCAGCGTGGCAGGCTGGGGATATTCAACCACTGTCCTGATGCTGCCAGGAGTGTCAGCGTGACACTGGCCTTTGAGCCAGGCAGGATCAAGGAGCACCAGTAGCAGCCACTCTCCATTGGAAGCTCTTGTAGCAGCAGAGCGAACTCAGCAAGTCATTGACCTAGTGGCTGCTGGGAGCCCCACACTGCTGTCTGGAGAAAGTACTCTAATTTGAGTGGAGACAGGGAGGTCTGTTTCCCAGGAATCCTGGTGCCACTGCAAGTCCAGCCCTCTCCCCCTGGATGTGTCTCCCAGCCCCTCCCTCAAAGGCACCTGCGCCCTTATCCAAGAAGTAGGCCAGGAGGCAGCGCATGACAGCCTGGTGGGAGATGACAAGGACATTGCCCTGACGTTCCAGCTCCATGATGACAGGCTCCAGCCGCTGCACCAGGTCCTGGTATGACTGTGGAGGGAAATGGGGCAGGCTGGCAGAAGCCCAGGTGCAAGTTGGCAGCTAAGTCAGTGGCTGGACCTTGGAGACTAAAGGCCACTTCTTCTTCCTCAGCTGGCTTTCCTCCTGGAAGCTCAGTGAGTTCATATCACCTGCCCCCAGCCCTGGTGTCTCTTGAGAAAACTCAGATCTTTCAAGAGCAATATTTAGACCAAGAAAACTACAGGTTAAGAAAAGGAAGTGTGAGTTCAACCTGTGTGTATGTGCTTTTTCTTCCACCAGATTCATTCAGGCACTGAGACAACAAAAGATTCCTAGGGGTTTCCTGTACCTCCGCCACTCAGTTTTATTTACTTTTGCCTCACACATCCCTAGAGTATGGAAGCCACTTAGACAAGGAAATAGCCTAAAACACTCAAGACGAGAGAGAAATAATTCCTATCCCATATATTTACTTGGAGACTCCACTTATGAGGGGGTGGGATTGAGAGTACAAGGAAAAAAAGAAATAAAAATGATTGTGTTGATTCTAAAACATATTGAACACAGAGGACACCTTGTCACCCTTATCTCTGGGAATCTTAACAATTAATGAGGCATTCGATTGTCTAAGCTAAATGAAACCAAAATGACCCAAGGGAAGGAAGATAAATGATGCCTAGAACCTCCAAATCACGTTCAATCCTTCCCCCAAATTAAAGCTAAACCTTCAGCAAGGGGCTAGGCAGTCACTTTACATGATGAGGGTGTCTTACCTCCCCACCAGGATATCGATACAGATACTTCTCTTGATCTCGAAGTGCAAATTCTTCTGGGTACCGCTTCTCAATCTCGGCATAGGTCATCTCTTCACACACGCCCTGCAAAAAGCCACTTGAAGCTGGCTTGAGGAGATAAGACTGTCCCACACCAGCCCCATCCCAAATAAGGAAGATGACACCAAAGAATGCTAGTTTCTTAGTGCACGCCAGGCACTGTGCTGGATCCTTTCATGTATTGCGGCCACCTGTGACCAGAGTGTCACAGAGTGTCGCAGAGTGTCACAGAGTGTCTGTGACTCACCGGGTGAGGAACACTGCAGGGAGGAGGCAACTTCTCCAGCTCAAGCTACCATGTTCTCCTACTACTGGGGGGGGGGAACTTACAGGTCAAGAAAGTCAAGAGGCTAAAAGGAACAAGAAGCAGAGAAGGAGGGAAACTGAAGGGACTGGAGACTTTGCAGGAAAAATAAAAGGGTAGAAGGAAGGAAAGAAAAAGAAATGTTGGCCAGGCGCGGTGGCACACACCTATAATCCCAACCCTTTGGGAGGCCGAGGCGGGTGGATCACAAGGTCAAGAGCTCAAGACCAGCCTGACCAAGATAGTGAAACTCCATTTGTACTAAAAAGACAAAAATTAGCGAGGCGTGGTGGTGGGTGTCTATAATCCCAGCTACTAGGGAGGCTGAGGCAGAGAATTGCTTGAACCTGGGAGGCAGAGGTTGCAGTGAGCCAAGATTGCACCAGGGCACTCCAGCCTGGGCCACAGAGCAAGATTCCGTCTCACAAAATAAATAAATAAAGTAAAAAGAAAAAGAAATGTCCACTTTTGTGCTCAAGAAGAGAGAAAGCCAAGAGAAATTTTGGGAAAAACTTTTCTGAATAGCTGACCAAATTATCTAAGCAGAAAGTAAAGAAGTAGGTTGTTAGCTATTTCTTTTTCCCAGGAGGCAAATATACAAAGGAACAAAATGAGTCCTTGTTAGCCCCACTTTCCCCAGGTGCCAGAAAGGCTGGCTCAAAAATTGGTTTGGGTCCCATGATTGGCACAGGTATTGAAGCAGGCAGGAAACCCCCGACTGGGGGTGCAATTGTCCTCCCTGAGCCCCCGAACCGGCCATAGAGTCAGCTTCCTCAGAGTTTTTACTTGGTGGTTCTAGTTTCCTAGATAAAAATGTCCAAATAGTGACTTCTGAGAGTTCCTGCCTGAATATGAGACTCTTGTTGGCTTTTCTGGGCCTTCAGAGCTTCCTACTCACAGCATCAATCTCATTCAGAATCTTCCACTGCTCATAGGGCACCCCGAGAGACTCAGCAGTCTGTATGGTCCTCTTCAACTGGCTTGTCCACACTTTGAGGTCTGTTATCTCCTGTTCTGCCAGAAACTTCCTTAGAGCTTGGGCAAACTGGGGTTTAAAAATGAAAATTAAGGGTAAAAAGAAAACACACACACACACACACACACACTCAACACACACATACACAAAGCCTGCTAATGTGGCCTGTAATGGACAATGTGCATAGCCATGGTCAAAATCCATAAGGTGCTACATAGTTAATATAAACCCAAAAGGAAATGAACTTTAACTGGAGCACCCTGTACATTGCTAAGTACACAAGTTGTGCCCAGTGAATATCTGATGGCTGAACGATCACAGCAGAAATGGCTCCAAGTTATCTACACTTCAATACAGAGCTAGACGCAGTGAGCAAGAACACACCTTGAGCACTTGCCTGACTATGGAATCACAGCCTCCGTTCAAATGGGATTTAAGTAAGGAGATAAAAGAGATGACCTCAGCCATGCCCTTCTAACTCTAAGCCTAGAAAATCCAGTGTGCTGACTAATTACTCACCTGCTTTCCCCTCACGGAGAGGCCAGAGTCACCCCCAATCTTCCCCAAGAGATTGAACTCGCTTTCTCCATGCCGGCAAAGGTAAATGGTGCGAGGCTGGACGTGGATATTCATGAGGTAGTAGACTATCTTGCTCTGGATGTAGTCCTGGACTCTGTTGACTAAAAATCGCTGGCCCACATTTATCACCTTGATGAAAGAAAGATCCCTGGGACAGGAAAGAAAAAAAAAATTCCCTGGGTATGAAAATCTGAGAATAAGAATCAGAGGGAAAAGGATTTCTATAGGGACTTGCAGGCTCACAGCTGCTCTTCCTCCCCTCCTCTGTCACACCCACGTTTATGGAACCAAATGGTAGGAGATTAATTACTCCTTAAAACCAAGATGAAGTACAATTTCCTGAACTTCTAGTCAGTTCATACCATTTCCTCAGTGCCTGTACTGTGACACGCGATGTAGATAAATACGATAAACAGAATTCAGGCTTCCCATCAGGGGCTAGACTAGGTGACCTGAAGATTTTGCTGCTAAGCCCGAAATTTGGTGAGAAAAATAGGCCCCATTTGAGGCAGTCAAGACCTGGCCAGAATATGGCATGACGAGCAATGAGGGGAAGGGAAGAGGCAGCAGAAGCACAGACAGCAATGTTTATACACTCCCTGCATCTACCTAATCATGCTTCTCTCAAAGACAGTTTCAGACATTGCTTGCTTTGAGATCAACATGAGATTGTTCTCTTTATAAAAGTCGTACGTGTGGCTGGGCACGGTGGCTCATACCTGTAATCCCAGCACTTTGGGAGGCCAAGGCAGGTGGATCAGGAGATCAGGAGTTTGAGACCAGCCTGGCCAACATGGTGAAACCCCTTCTCTACTAAAAATACAAAAATTAGTCAGGCGTGGTGGCGGGTGCCTGTAATCCCAGCTGAGATCATGCTACTGCACTCCAGCCTGGGCAACAAGAGTGAGAGACTCCATCTCAAAAAAAAAAAAAAAAAGTCGTAAGTGCTTATTTTAAATCAAAAAATCAGAAAAAATGATGGAAGCATGCAAATCACGCATCACCCTACTACCAGAGATAACATATACAAACACACACGTATATGTAGATCTTCTGTATGTTTTTCTAGGTGGGACTTTGTTCCAAATGAAGAACACTTTTATGCCATATCTAGGAGGTCGTTTTCAGCCTCCATATTAAGGGGATTCTGGGAAACCCACTTGAAGGAACTGAAAGGCTCAAAACATTAAACAGACCACTGTATTCAGTGTGCCATGCACATTAAATGTGCCATTTGCTTGGCTGCAGGTCTGTATTGTCTGAATAGAGCTGTTAACTGCCCTGAATGCATCCATGCTCTTTCATGAGGCCACATTCTTGCAGATGTCCATGTGTACACCATCTTTCTTTAACATGAACTTGGTTTTGCTATGGCTCATATACGTCATACATGACAAGTTAATCTATAGTCTATGCCATTCTGCCAACAAATGCTTTCATAGTAATGACAGCTGGCATTGATCAGACATTTCTCTGAGTCAGGCATGTTCCTGAGGGCTTTGCATGTTTTTTATATATACACACACACACACAGAGAGAGATAAAAAATATGCAATATGTAATATATATAATATGTTATGCTATAATATGCATGATATACACACAAGCATTAATATATGTAAAATATTATATAATATATATACAGTAAACTTTTTAAAAACTGATGACACATCTCCGAAGGGTATCCTACAACACTCCTGTTCAGATAGGGAGCAGTGGTTCTCAACCACAGATGATTGTGACCCCCGGGGAACATCTGCTATGTCTGGAGACATTTTGGTTGTCACAGCTTGGAGGTGTTAACTGGCAAAGGCCAGGGAAGCCGCTAAACATCCTAAACATCCTACAATACACAGGACAGCTCCTACAATAAAGAATTACCCAGTTCAAAGTGCCAATAATACTGAGATTGAGGAAATCACACTCTAGAGACCAGAGAGAAAAAAATTGATGATAAAAACCACTTCCGGCCAGGCGCAGTGACACATACCTGTAATCCCGGCACTTTGGGAGGCCGAGGCAGGTGGATCACTTGAGCTCAGGAGTTCAAGACTAGCCTGACCAACATGGGGAAACTCTATCTTTACTAAACATTAAAAAAAAAAAATGCCGGGCATGGTGGCACAGGCCTGGGGTCCCAGCTACTCGGGAGGCTGAGGTGGGAAGATCACCTGAGCCCGGGGGCAGCAGCTGCAGTGGGCCCTGATTTTGCCACTGCACTCCAGCCTGGGTAACGGAGCGAGACCCTGTCTCAAAACAAAACAAAACGCTTCAGTTTTTCATGTACAAGATGCAAGCCACAAATGCATACCTTATTTCTCTGGGATGATGTTAACACATCTAGATCTATAGATGTAGGTTATCAGAAGGAAATTAGAGAACTGAGGGAGAAAGGTTATTTTCCCAGATGAGACCTTTGCCTTGGGCCCTTCAAACGATGGCCTTAAACCTTACTTGTCATAGTTGTCTGGGTCAAGGGGTCGGTAGGTAACTTTGTAGCACTCAATTCTCTTCAGGAAGTCCTCCATCACGTTCTCTCTGTTCCTTTCAGGGTAGTCAGGGCTCGACACCTTAACCTCCTGAAATCATAAAAACAGTAAAGGCCTCATCAGAGGTCTGCCCTTAACAGCCCTCCTACAAATAGCCACTACTAAAAAAAAGAAAAAGAAGTCCATAAAAGTCGCCTTTCTCTGGAACACTGGCACTCCACTCATTGAGTACCCCCTCCCCCGCCCCACCCCGCCCCGTCCTGTGACCCTGGCAACCAAAAAAGTTAAGACAACTGGGGAGTCATGTGCCTGCACTTGGCTGAAGGACAGAGGCAGTCACGCAGCCAAAGCTGCTCCTGGGCCCCAATCCCTTTATGTACTTTCCTGAGAAAACAGAACAGGCTCCAATGTTTCTCCATTACCACTCAGAATAGAGTGCTTGACCCCAGTGCCTGACTTGGGACCAGATGCCTCTTCCTCAGATGATCCCAAGTTCCTATGGCTGGGAGAGCACCTGCATAAGACCATGTACAGATATCTGCTCAGCCCAGCAGAGCACAACCCATCCAATGGGGACGGTCGTACACTGTGACCCCACAGGGCATAAGAAGCCTGATGTATAGAACACTGACTAGAATATTGGACAATTGCTGGGGAGATAACCTTCCTGTAGGTAAGTCCTGAAATGAAGAGTCTGATCTATTCTTTTTTTTTTTTTTTTTTTTTTTTGAGACAGGTTCTCACTCTGTTACCAAGACTAGACTGCAGTGGCACAATCATGGCTCACTGCAGCCTCAACCTCTCAGGACAGGTTCTCACTCTGTCACCCAAGACTGGACTGCAGTTGTAAAATCACGGCTCACTGTGGCCTCAACCTCCCAGGCTAAGGTGATCCTCCTAGGCTCAAGCAATCCACCTGCCTCGTCCTCCCAAAGTGCTGAGACTACAGGCACGAGCCACCATGCCCAGCTGATCTATTCCAACATCTAGGTCTCAGCATCCAGATAATACCCAGAACACAGGGCCAAGACTCCTACAACCTAAAACCTGGTTTCAATTCAACAGCGAATTCTTACTTGATTCCTTAAAGCCTCAGTTTCCTCTCCCAAGAGAAGAGTGTAGAAGTACCAGATGGTGCTCTGGCAGATAGAAAAGATCTTTTTGTGATGTTAAACATGTCTATTTCTCTCTTTCATTACCCAAAACACCCCTCCCCAACAAAACACACACACACATACACACAACACAAAAGGTGAAGAGGAGATGATATGTAGGGGTGTTACCAACCAGAATATTGGCAGCAATGACATCAGGATCATCACAGACAGATTCCACAAAGAATACCTGGCCATGGAGAGAAGGCAGTGATGAACACATCAAAAATGCCAGGCTGTGAATTAAGAGCACATGCTCATCTACCCCACCCAGCCACTACATCTCCCAGGATTTTCTTCATGAAAGTGGCCTTCAAGTCCTCCTCATAGCTCTCACCACATCCCCTGGGCCTCAAACATACACGCTAAAGGTCTGAGAAAGGACCTGAATGAAAACACTCCAGGACGGGGGAATGCTCTGAGGGAAGAGATTCAGATATCCCATCCTGTCCTCACCCACTACAGTCAGAGATCCATGCCCATAGCCTGACTCCCCACCTCTGCTTATCCCTTTTCCTCCAGCATGGAGTCAGATCCTACCTTGAAGGAATTCTGTTCAGCAAAGTTCAAAATCATGTCCCTCCTCTCCCGGGTTGTATTGGTGGCATCAAACACCTGTGAAGAAAGCACGCAAGGTAAATGAGCAGGAACAGAGAAATGGGACCCCACCAGGGCAGACTCAAGGTAGGGCTGGGTAGCCAGGCTGCTGCAAGGGTGGGGACCAGAAAGAACAAGTAGATAAAGCTTACCGCAATCTGACCATTCTCCTCAGTGAGATATGCCTTAACATCTTCCAGCGCCACCAGAGCACACTGTCTGCCATGAGAGCAAATGAAACCAGCAAGGAGAGCTAAGCTCAAACATAGTCAGAGACACAAACATTCCGGTGGCTACAGGAGTCACATCCTGCCCACTTAGTTTCCCACTGTTCAAAACCTTTCTCTAACTAGATCTTTCCACTTTCTCACTGAGGGTTTTCATACCATCCTACAACCCCTTCCTGCCCCTGCCCCAGTGCACAGATCTTAGCCCTCTTTAGACTTCTCCTACAAGCACACAGGTATCGCTGTGAGCCCTGTTCTTCTGACCACCCAAGCCCAAGGTCACTTGCCCATCAGGTAACTTCCATTTCACTTCCCTATAAGATATTTACTGAGATGAAACCAAACCCTGTCACACCAAGTCTCACGACAGCCAAGAAAGAGCTGACCTGGAGATCAGGCCTTAAACAAGACTCACTTGCGGATCTTCATGGCCTCCTCATTGTCATGCCGAAAGAAGTCGTAGGACTTATAGGACTTGACTGCTTCACGCCGATACACCCCAAGATTAAACACTGCGGAAGACACCCAAATCCTTCAGCAGCCAAACAATATGATGGCCCCACCAAACGGGACCTGTTTCTTGATCTAATGTCAGAGTGGCCAAGGGGATGAAAAAAGCAGCAGCATGGTAGGTTGGAAACAATATCAGATTAAGAGTCAAAGAGTTGGGTTCAAGTCCTGACTTTCTAGACCTTGGACAAGTCTTAAGCTGTCTGAGGTTTCAATTTCCTCAGCCACTCTGTCTATCTCACAGAGACACTGCTAGGGTTATATAAGATGATGTCCACATAAGGCCTCTGAAAATGTACAGCCCTAAGCTCATCTAAATCTTAACAGTCCTATCAAAGGCATTCCCTCAAAACTAGGCCAATCCACCCACGCCAGGAGGAGACAAGTCTGGGAATAGAGAATAACTCCAGTAAACCAGAAAGCAACTGCTATTTCTGCCAGAAGCACCCTATAGCATTGATGCCAGGAAGAAGAAGTCCCCTGGAGACCTGTGAGGCCCAGGAACTAATAATTTCCTTTCCTAGGGAATGAGCCACACTTACCTTTGGTGGGCACTCCAATCCAGTTGAGGTAGCGTGTTAGTTTCTTAGACACGTAGGTTTTACCCCGGGCTGGCAAACCAATCATAACGATGAGAGTCGGGGAGTTGGTCATGTAGGAGGCCCATGCTAGAAGGAAATGAAACAACATAAAACGAAATGACTAGGGTCCTAGTAAGGTTTTCTGGTGTTTGTTTTTTTGAGACGGAGTCTTGCTCTGTCGCCAGGCTGGAGTACAGCGGCGTGATCTCAGCTCACTGCAACCTCTGCCTCCCAGGTCAAGAGATTCTCCCCCCTCAGCCTCCTGAATACCTTGGACTACAGGCACCCGCCACCATGCCCAGCTAATTTTTGTATTTTCAGTAGAGACGGGGTTTCATCATGTTGGCCAGGATGGTCTCAATTTCTTGACCTCGTGATCCACCCACCTTAGCCTCCCAAAGTGCCGGGATTACAGGCCTGAGCCACCACGCCCCGCTGGGGCCTAGTAAGGTTTATACACTGAGCTACGAACTTCAAAGTCATAATCTCATTTTATCTCCATAAACCTGTGGAGCAAAGGTTCAGCAAGTCTGAGAAGACAAATAAGGCGATATCAGGCAGGCCTCCTGAAATAGAGTTAAAAGGTTATGCAGGCTTCCAGAAAATGCCCAAACCAACACACATCTTTCCCACATGTCTGAGGTCTTCACTGAAGTACCCAAGGTGGAAAGAGGAAAAAAAGTGGCAAGGATAAGAAAGAAAATAACCATGCTGGAGCCAGACATGACAGCTCATGCCTGTAATGCCATCTATTTGGGAGGCTGAGGTGGGAGGATCACTTGAGGCCAGGAGTTCAAGATAAGCCTGGGCAACATAGAGACACCCTTGTCTCTTCAAATATAAATATATAAATAAATATATATAATTATATATTGTATAATATATATTTATATATTTATATATAAATATATAATATAATATATTTATATATAAATATTTATATTTATTTATATATTTATATATAAATATATTATATTATATATTTATATTAAAATATATTAATATGTTATATATTTATATATCAATATATTAATATTTGTATATAAATATATTTATATATAAATATATATATATCACTTAGCCACATGTGGGAGTGTACACCTATAGTTCCAGCTACTCAGGAGGATTGCTTGAGCTCAGGAGTTCAAGGTTGCAGTGAGCCATGATCACGTCACTGCACTCCAGCCTGGGCAACAGAGCAAGACTTCGTTTCAACAAAAGAAAGAAAAGTAATAATGACATCATCCTTAACGTAAGAATGCCTAGAAATATAAAAATGATATAGCTGTGAAGGAAGGTCTAATGCTTACAGATTCTACCAGTGCAGAACTGAGCTGGCTCCTATAATAGGTCCAACAGAGTTTCTGTCTCCAGGATCCCACTCATCCCTTCAGAACCATGGGTAAGAATTAGCTTGCCCACTGCAAAAAGCCTTGCCTCAAGCTGTTTTGGCCTTTTCACTCAGGCCATGAGCTCCTCTTTAAGCCAGAATTTCTAAACCATAGTGAGATTGAGTTGGCAAAGCCTACTTGATACACATTCTGAATAGACCTCAGGAAGCTTCAGGGTAGAGCCAGCCCACATAGGGCATCAGGGCCAATCTGCCACCATGGCCCATGTAAAAGCAAGACAATTGAGAAGCATTAACAGTCCTCAGTCTACCCTTCCTTAGTAAATTAACTTACTTCAGGAATGCTTATTTGCAGCGATAAGTCTCACTGGACAGGCAGGGCAAACTAGATGTTCAGGGGACAGGTGACTTGTCTAGGGACACATAATGAATCAAGGGTATAGCTGGCACTAGAACACAGATCTTGTGCTTCCTTGCAGCTTTTCTCCATAAAAAGAGGTTCCTCATCACCTTGCTCACAGGGGCTGGCTCCTCCTGGCCCATCTTGCTGCAGAGGAGAGGTGGGAGAAGGACCTGCACTGCTGCCGGCCACTGTCCCGGGGCCAAAAACCACACTGAGGTCATCTGGGACAGCTCAGGCTCTGCCGGCTCCAATGAGGGAAGGCCCTGCACAGGATGGGGGAAAAAGGAAGAAACACCTTCACCTCCCACTTCCCACCACTGCTTCCCAGAAGGTGCCCTGCAAGTTGCGGCTGCCCCTCTGCCTGGTACTAAGGGACCTTGTAAGATTAAGAAACAGTTCTGTAAAATGGAGGTACTGGATGGGAAACACAACTTTCATTTTTTGAGAAATAAATGTAGAAAGATCTCAGTGGAGAAGTGGGAGGAGGGGCCCCGGTAGAGAACCAACCTCGGAAGGAAAAGAGTTTCCTAAGGGCGTTTGGCAAGAAGTACTCAGAGTGACCCTAGTGGTGAGGAGGGAGAAGTGGAGGCCCAGACCTGGGGTCAGAGGGCTTGGCTTTTAGTCCTTTACCCACTGTACACACGGAAAATTCCTGAGTCTCAGCAGGAGCCCCTCCAAGGGAGGTAAAGGAGCAACGTAAGTGATTTTCATCTCTGTTCAAATAGGGAGCTCAAAGGCAGGCAAACTGTACCCTGAAGCCTCGGCTGGCATTAATCCCTAATCACTGGCCCCTAACAGGCAGATAGCCTCTGCATGGGATCAGCTGTCTCAGGTTTAAGTAGTAAAATCCCCTGAGTCTTCACTTTCACCAGCTCAGCTCAACACCTGCTCTCAATCTCCCATGATTTGGCTCATTACCTGCACTTCTAGGCCTGCTTTGTCCGTACCTTCCAGCCCATTAGGCACATCCCCCAAAGGTCCTATTACCCTCCCAAAGCTTAAAATGAACTGATACTTGGGAGCTGCTCTGAAGGCAACCAGGGAACCAGCTGCTCTCTGTTTACCCATGTGGACAAAGAATGCTAAGAACAACAACAACAAAAAAAACCGTATCCACCTGGGACCTCCCAAGAGCCCTCCAGCAATGCACCTCTCGCCTCTGTCCAGAACACATTTATACACACCTGCTACAACCAGGGCTTCTCATTTTCTGGAGTACAAAACTAAACCACACTTCCTATCTCAAATTACCACACTGGCAATAGTAGGAACATTCTGTCCTGCCTGTTAAAAACACAAAACCACCTCCCACTACCACCTGATTAATTTCAGAGACAATGTAACCCATCTCTTGATATACATTGGAAAACTGTTTCATCCTGAAATTCTCTTCTACCTTCTTTAAGCCAGGTTTAACTCCTTTTCTCAAACTTAAATTCATTTTCCTTTCATAATGAAGGGGTGGCCTGCCCCTCCACACCTATGGGCGTTTCTCATCAGGTGGGCATTTCTCCACAGATGGGAGGAGAGACTGAGAAAAGAAAGAGACACATAACAGTCTGATCTCTCTTTTCCCCACATATAAACTTGCTTAGATAAAATGAAGACTTGAGGGTGAGCGGGCGCAGTGGCTCACGCCTGTAATGAACACTTTGGGAGGTCAAGGTGGGTGGATCGCCTGAACCCAGGAGTCTGAGACCAGCCTTGGCAACATGGTGAAACCCTGTCTCTACTAAAAATACAAAATTAGCCAGTCTATAACCCAGTCTCAAAATAAATTAATTAATTTTTTTTAAAAAGATGGACAAAAAAAAAAAAAGAAATGAGGACTTGATAACTTCCCTCATGTAAATGGAAAAACTCAAGCCTGGAGAAATTAAGAGCTTTGCCCATGGTCCCACAATAGACAGTCAAGGTCAGGGCTCTGACCAGTCTCCTGATCTCATGACTGCCCATTCAGTCCCAGCTGCCAGCTCCTGTGCCTCATGTCAGCACTTGACAAAGGTACCTTCATGGTAAACACAACTTGCTCTCCATTCTAATCCTGAAGGATGGTCTGGGAGAGCAGTGGTTCCCAGCATTTTCAGTACCCAGGTTGTCTTCTTTTATTGGCTCTAAAGAGGCCTAATGTTTAGAAATATGCTGCCCATAAAGCATGTTTCATTAGTGATATTTTATCTTTATTCATCAGAAGTCAGAACTGCTGATTATCTCCTGCTGGTTGACAGGCATGAAATAACCAAGTTCATATAACTATGGTCAAACACTAAGAAAGATGATGTTTCAGTTAACCACTATGGCTATAGTTGATGCTGCCCAATTTCCATCAAATATCGTGAAATACTGAAAACAGCTTACAATATAGAACTTTTCAGGAAAGCAAATTAGTAATACTGATGAACACTTCCAATGTGTCTATCTTTCCTATCATTTCTGTAGGAAAAGTTGCTGGCACAAATGTGCAAAGGTGTACGTGTAAGAATGGTCACTGCAGCACTCTTTGTGATGATGAAAAACTGGAAACAATTTAAATGCCTATCCGTGGAAAGCTGGCATATCCATACAATGCAGAATGAGGTAAATCTGGATTTATCAACGTTAAAAGGATGTCCACAAGACAGTAACTTGTTTAAAAAAAAAATGAACAATATGAAACTACCTTTATTAATAGGATATACAGAATAAGATGTCTAAAAGAAACAAACTTGGAAGAGACAGGAGTTTTTTACTTTTCACTTTCTAAATCCTTTCTGTTATTTGAATTTATGAACATACGTTGCTTTTGTATTTAGGAAAAGGTACATGGAAGAACTTGTCTGTTCCAGAACTACTCAAAAAAAAAAAAATTAAAGAAAAAAAAGCATGTAGATTTCCCCATTTCTGCTTTTTAAAATTTATTGATTGATTTATTTTTTTCTGAGACAGAGTCTCGCTGTTGCCCAGGCTGGAATGCAGTGGTGTGATCTCGGTTTACTGCAAGTTCCTCCTCCCAGGTTCACGCCATTCTCCTGCCTCAGCCTCCTGAGTAGCTGGGACTACAGGCGCCCGCCACCATGCCCAGCTAATTTATATATATATATATATATATATATATATATATATTTTTTTTTTTTTTAGTAGAGATGGGGTTTCACCATGTTAGCCAGGATGGTCTTGATCTCCTGACCTCATGATCCGCCCGCCTCAGCCTCCCAAAATGCTGGGATTACAGGTGTGAGTCACCGTGCCAGGCCTTCCATTTCTGCTTTCATAAGCCCTGAAACCAGTCCTCTGAGCACCTTAAAGGCACCTCGGCCAGTAGCCCCTCTTCACCCCATCCCAAGAGCAGTTGAAGTCCCAGCAATGCTCCTTCGGAGGTTTTGGCTCCCTAAAGTCATTCTTCAGCCCTGAAATCCTCAAGCCCAGTCACTTCCCGGAGTCAAAATTAGCCAACACAGGTGTAATGAGCAGCAAGGGGACAACGGTTAAGCTATTAATAAAGCAGCTACTGATGTGAACACTAAGCAGCCAGGGGAACCAGCTCCAAAGTACAGCTCCATAGCAGAGGAAAAGGAAGTAAGTTAACACATATACTCATAACTTTATTTTCTCCTTTGACTATGTCTGCAACAGTCTCACAGCCCAACTGTGACGTGAGGAGAGAATGAGGTAAATAAATCACAGTGGCTTTAGGAAACCTTCTTCTTCTTAGAGAAGAAAAAGGCATTTAGAGAAACTAGAGCTTGCAAAAAGAGATCAGAGCCCAGAGCAGGAATTAGAGTCTAGAAGACAGGAAAGAAACCAGGGATTACTGCTTCCTTGACTAATTGAAAGCCCTCAAGGCAGATGAACTACTAGAGTTAGGAAAGCAGGTAGAACAGATTCCTACCATGGAGAAAAAAGCAAATTAGAAGGACTGACACAATTATCGACTCTGACCCCCAGCCCCCAGCTTTCTTTTGGATCAAGCACCCTAGTAACACAAGTGTACCTCCCTGTAAGGGGTGCATCCCAGATCCCCAAATCTGGGTTACAATATTGTCAAACAAAAGAAGAAAACATTTTTTACTGAAAAACTAATTCTTCACTGGTCTCTTTTAAATAGTGAGCTTCCAATACAGCATTTGAGTATGATTCAATATAAATATTTCAGGAATAAATACAACAGGCAGATTGAGTCACCTGTGAAAAATAGCACACATTGGCTATATGCTCAACACTCTTCTGAGTGCCTTCCTACATTTAGTCATTTAATCCTCACATCACTTTTGGGGGAGATATTGTCAGTATCTCCACTTTTAAAAGGAGTAAACTGAGGCATGGAGAGGATAAGCAACTTGTTTAAGAGCTAAGAAGTCATAAACCCAGGATTCAAACTCAGGCAGTCTGACTCCAGAGGCTACACTCAAACATCATGCTATACTAGTTATTTCTCATGGGGTATTCTGCCCTTAGCACCTGGCTTCTTGACCTGGCAGAGAAAAGAGACCCTAATTGTAGACCCTAACTCTGCCAACCCCAGTATCATGTCCAGCCAGCTGCTTCTGTCCAGCAGGCTCCATGGGTGCTAGGTGAAGAGAGATTATCATTGTCAATCATAAAAGTGACAAGGGCATGACATCAAGGTCGAGGCTCTGGGAAAAGCTTTGAACATGAGATGATTCCTGGTCTCATGCTGGTCGACTGTTTCCACCTGCTGACATATATATAACTGACTTGACTAATTGGTTATATATACATATATATATATGTATCTCCACTGATGTGAGAAGAACTGACAGGATTCCACAGGAAAAGTGCCATCCAGAAGCAGAGGCAAGAGTTAGCATTCCTTGAAGTTCCCCAAAATATATGGGGAACAGAGTCCCAGACCTTTTGGGGAGCTATGCAGCCTATAATGACGCTTAGAAATACAGATGCATGGGGACAGGAAATGATGCTTCATCTCCTCGCAAACCCTCCTGCTGTCTCTATCTAAAAGACAAGCATGGAAATGCTCAGGTGAAAGCTGTCCTCAAAAAAAATGAACCTACAGGGAAAATAGTTTACAAAGTACAAAGCCTAAACCTGTGAGAAAGTAAGATGCCCAAGACACTGTGAGAAGCCAAGTGTCAGGGCTCATTCCCCTGAGGCCTGAAAGAATGAAGCCAAACAGCACTGGCTCCCATCTGTAATTTCTACAATGAGCAGCACTCTCCCAAAATTTAGCCCAACAGATAAAGCTGGTAACATTACCAGCTCTAAGTAATTCCTGCACCTGCAACTGTGTCTTACTCATTGTGTGTACAATAATGTTTGTTCTAACTTCCATCAGCAAGCCAGTGTGCAAATGTCCCAGGAGACAGAGATTCAGTTAAAGAAAGCAGTAAGAAACTGCTGGACTACACCAGTAGTCTAGCCCCAAGAACAGACATTTCGCTAAGTCTACTTGTTTTAGACAGGACATTCCACCCTGGAGACTTTGTATTAAATTTCCATGTCAAAGAATTATTTATCGCTCCCACCAAGCAGTAGAGTCTAGGATTATAACTATATTCCCAAGATAAAATGCTGAGAGAGAGCAGTCCCTCCTCTCTGCCAGAACTCACAACATTTCTTCTCTGACATTCGAAGATTTGGGGTTTTAGTTTCATAGCTGTTGTTGTTCTGTTCTGAGACAGATGCCCCAGACATGGCAGCTCTTCAGATGTCTGAAAGAGAGAAGTAGAATGTAAAAAAGGGAAGGGGAAGAAGGAAGACATAACTTAAAAGAAAACTCAGTGCATTGGATCCGCATGGTATAAGTAAAAGCACCCTGGGCCAAGAGTCAAGTTCAGTCTTGTTTCTCCCAATTAGCAGCTACTTCTCTAGCCCTGTTTCCTCACCTATAAAAAGAGTAGCGCTAGAACCTTACATTTATCTGCTGACTTACGAGTCTACATTTACAAACGTTATCTTCTTCAGTCCTTCCAATAATCTTGTAATTAGACAGATTTTGCTACCATTATTTCTTCTCCTCCTTTTACAGATTGAAAATTTGAGATTCATCGGATTAAGTGGCCTGCTCAAGGTTTCATGACCTCAGATTCTAGTTTTAAGAATCTGGGCAGAGTAGTGGCAGCAGTTGGGGTGCGGTGGGTTATGAATAGACCAAGTTCATTACCAAGAAAGTAACTCCAATCTAATGGTAGGGCTGTTTCGAAAAATGTGGGGCCGGGCACGGTGGCTCACTCCTGTAATCCCAATACTTTCGGAGGCTGAGGCGGGCGGATCACGAGGTCAAGAGATAGTGACCATCCTGGCCAACATGGTAAAACCTCGTTTCTACTAAAAATACAAAAATTAGCTGGGCGTGGTGGTGCGCGCCTGTAGTCCCAGCTACTCAGGAGGCTGAGGCAGAAGAATCGCTTGAACCCGGGAGGCGGAAGTTGCAGTTAGCCAAGGTCGCGCCACTGCACTCCAGCCTAGCGACAGAGCCAGACTCCGTCAAAAAAAAAAAAAAAAAAGGAAAAATGAAAAAGAAAGAAAAGAAAAAAGTGAGGGACGTGGGAAAATCTCGAACATATTCCCTGAAGGAAAAACAGTAACTGGACCTCAAGACAGCCCTAGCTAGCACGTCACTCATTTCTCCTCTGGTGCATTCTCAAGCCCTGCTCCGCACCCTCTCCCTAGTTACCTCCGGGGCTCAGTCTAAAGAACACCGGAGAGCTGAGGTGGTAAATGACTTCCCCAAGGTCACCTCGGGAAGAGGGGTAAGCCCTGATTCGAACTGGAGTGGGAAAGCCCTGAGCTCATGCCCCCAATTCAGACAACAGGGGGCTGGTGAGGACGGAAGGTCCTGCGCCTTCAAGAGCCTTACACGATTCCTTCACTGACCACACAAATCCTCCAACCCAAACACCGGCTCTGGCTCCCGGTCCCAGAATGTCCGCGCTCCCTGCCATGCCGGGCGACCAGTAGTACCTCGCCCCGCACTTCATCCAGGGGCACGCAGCCCCGGCATCCCGCCCCGCTAGACCCCACCCGGCGCTGCGCAACTGTGGCTCACCCTACGATCTCTCCTAAGATCCCTCCCTGCCTTGGCCCCGGCGCCTCCCCTGTAACACTACCGAACCGAGCCGACAGCTTGTGGCCGGGGCCGGCGCTACAGTAGCCGGCAAATCATGTGAGCCCGTCTGGCCCCGCCCCTCGCGCGTAGGTCCTCACCTGGAGAGAATCATCCACCAATCGGGCGCCTGCAGGGCCCAGGGGGCGGGGCCGGGTCGCAATAGCCTACGCGGGCTCGGGAAGGCTGGTGTAAGTGGGAACCAGAGAGATCACAAGCACCCGAGTTTCCCAGTGCCGCGGAGCCTGGTGGCATTGTTGCTTGGTAACTAATAGGGCTGGGGGCGGGGTTAATAAAAAGCCTGGCTTTTGTCTGACTCTCGCGAGAGTGGACTATTCAGTAGGCGCCTTGAGAGGGGGTGTGCCCTTTGAGTGATGAGAAAATGCTGCAAAGATTAACGCTCTCATTACTGAATCCCAACAGAACCTCATTAGATCCATAAAAGGGAACGTAAGCTTTAAAGATGTTTTTGCTAGAATAAACTACCACAACACTTGAGCTAATTATGCCTTAGGGTGTATACATACCCCGTTCCACAGGTCAGACGCTGTAACCTAAGAAACTCAACCACTCTCATCGTTGAACCAGAAGCTTCCCTGGACCCACCCATACACCCCAGTGGAATTTTTTTTTTCTTTTTTTGAGATGGAGTTTTGCTCTTGTTGCCCAGGCTGGAGAGAAATGGCACGATCTTGGCTCACCGCAACCTTTGCCTCCCGGGTTCAAGCGATTCTCCAGCCTCCGAGTATCTAGGATTACAGGCATGCGCCACTACGCCCCCCTTATTTTGTATTTTTAGTAGAGACAGGATTTCTCCATATTGATGAGGCTGGTCTCGAACTTCTGACCTCGGGTGATTCACCCGCCTCGGCCTCCCAAAGTGCTGGGATTACAGGTGTGAGCCACCGCGCCCGGCCACCCCAGTGGACTTCTAACCGCTCCTACCTTCCCTCCTACCTACCTCCCAACTCAGGCTGTATCATCTGTTGTAGTGTCTTGAAGAACCAAGGAGGAAAATTGCACCAGCAGAAAAAAATTGAGTCATGAAAGATGTGAAAAGATAGAAACATTACATATCATTTATTCAGAAGCAAAGTCTTTTACAGTGGAGGTGAGTTTGGACCAAGTGAACTACACTTTTCATAGTTGCCCCAGTGGGCCCGTTTGATGCTTGATAAACACACTCTAGACAAGTGGGACTTGCTGTCTGGATACCGGCTGGATAAAGAACAATGAGTATAGATTTCTTGGAAAATAGACATATAAATTCAGGGATGTCTTTATTCCTCCTTCGCCTGGGAATTAAACTCATTCTTCCAAAAGTTCAAACAGTTATCTCCTCTTTGAGACTTTTTACAACTCCCAGAGTGCTCTAGTTGCCCTCTCTATGTCTATACAACTCTGTCTTTATTCTTTCAGCAAGTATTTGTTGAACATTTTTTATTTGCGATTCACAGTCCTGGGTTCTAGGCACACACGGTTGAAAAGGTACACATAATCTAGCATTATCACGTTGCTTTGAAATTCAGTGGCTGTGTGTCTCACACCCCACCCTGTCTCCCAACTGCAATCAATACTTGTTACAATGAAGGCAGGAATGAAGTCTTCATATTTGCATGCCCAGGAACTGAACTGGAATCTGATGACACGCACTACATGACTCCTCCTTACACTGCCACCACCTGAATGAGGCAGCTGCCCTGGGCCCAGATGCTGACCTCATACTGTGCTTTCTGATGTGGCAAATAGACGTTTTCAAGCAGTCCCAGGGAGGCAGAAAGGCCAGTCCTTTGGCCCCTGGAACCTCAATGAGTCAATGTTTAATGCAGCCACGAGTCTAGTCACAAGTATAATTGTTTTTGACTGGTCCTTTGACTCAGTGACCATTCCTGGCATTCGTTTGCGTTGTGAACTATGATTCTGTTTCTCCTAATGTAGTCTGGGTGTAGCGTGGAAGCCCCAATTTAATAATTTCCGACCTCACTAAGTGCAAGGTCACATTCCAAGCTCCAGAGCTTCATTAAGGAACTCCTTCCCCCGCCCTCTTTTCTTAAGCATATATGCTACCGACGCGGAGGGCACCTCACTCGCTCTACAAGTAGCAAGACCCGTTGTCCTTTAGGAATACGGAGGTTTACATCTTCGTTCTGAGGGTGGGGGAAAAATCAGTTGCCACTTTAAAAGAGTTCGCGCTTAAGGCAGAAGCCGCGCCGAAGCGTCGCGAGAACTGTAACAACCCGCAACTTCTCGCGATGTTTGGCCCCGCTAAAGGTCGCCATTTTGGAGTCCACCCGGCGCCTGGTTGCCCCGGCGGCATCGCTCAACCGGCTGCCGGGACCAAAGCTGGTCCCGCGGGTGTCTGGCCTGTGGGCAGCCGGACCGACACGATGTGGCGGCTCCGCTGCAAGGCCAAGGACGGCACCCATGTTTTGCAGGGGCTGTCCAGCCGGACCCGGGTGCGGGAACTCCAGAGCCAAATTGCCGCCATCACCGGGATCGCCCCCGGCGGTCAGCGAATCCTCGTCGGATACCCTCCCGAGTGCCTGGATCTCAGCAATGGGGATACCATTCTGGAAGACTTGCCCATCCAATCTGGTAAGGAATCAGGGCAGGGGCCAGGGAAAGTCCCGGGAGGACGGAGAGGGGCGTGAGAGAGAACAGAACACTAGTCAAGGCAAGGTGGCTGTGGGTCGGCGGGGGACTTTGAGGCCAGGGGCGAGGATAGATCAAAGAACAGAGAACTCTGACGGGGGCCGGGGCAAGTGTCTAGCAACTCCTTGTCTTGACACAGGGTTGAAAGGGAACCCAAAGGCTTGAAGTCCCCCTTCCCCAATCCGCTTTCTGCTCGGCTTTGAAACTATCCCATTTTGTTTTCCGTCGGCGTCCACAAAAATATGAAGAAGTAGGGCCTATTTTCTCTGTCCTTATGTCTCTTTTCCCCTGTATCATCGATGAGATCTCAAGGATGCAGGATTTTTTTTTTCTTGGTTCATTTTTGCAATCCCCTTCATAGATACTTCGTTTGACAGGCATACTCATTTTCGAGTCAGCTTTTAAACACCCACTGAAAGCCCTTTCAATTTCTAACCAGTAGCAGTTATTTTTGTGCCATATCAAAACTTGAACATCAGTGTTTATAATTAAAAGCTTTCAGTTGCTGTATCAAGGACGCTGTAAACACTCAGAGTAGATAAGTTCCCAGAGAAGGAGACCCCCCTAGCGGCCTACTCTGTAGTGAGCACCTTCTGTAAAATACTGTATAAGGAAAGGAAATTTTGTTTTTGAAATGTATCTTTTTAGGTAAGCTTAAAGTTGTTTACTCCAGACCGCTTCACTAAATTGGGATGCAACCTGAAGTGTCTTTGTTCTTTGTTCTTTTTTCATCTTTATGAAAATTCAGTGAACAAAGATTGTTACTGGTAACTTATTTGCAAAGCTGTCTTCTCTTTAATAACCCCAGTTTATGCTTTAACTCCTTCAGTTTGTAATTTACAGACTTGGCTAGTGAACACTCGGTTTCTTCTATAATTATCTGAAGATCAGGATTTGTTTTATTTTTAACAGGTGACATGCTGATCGTTGAAGAAGACCAAACCAGGCCCAAAAGTTCACCTGCATTTACTAAACGTGGTGCTTCTAGTTACGTCAGGGAAACTTTGCCTGTGCTTACCAGAACCGTGGTCCCAGCAGACAATTCTTGCCTCTTTACCAGTGTGTACTATGTCGTCGAAGGAGGAGTCTTGAATCCAGCTTGTGCCCCTGAGATGAGACGCCTCATAGCACAAATTGTAGCAAGCGATCCGGACTTCTATAGTGAGGCAATACTGGGAAAAACAAATCAAGAGTACTGTGACTGGATCAAAAGGGATGACACTTGGGGAGGAGCAATAGAGATATCGATTTTGTCCAAGTTTTACCAATGTGAAATATGTGTAGTGGATACACAGACAGTAAGAATTGATCGTTTTGGGGAAGATGCAGGATATACTAAAAGGGTTCTGCTTATTTATGATGGCATCCACTATGATCCACTTCAGCGTAACTTCCCTGATCCAGATACACCTCCTCTGACCATTTTCTCCTCTAATGATGATATTGTTCTTGTACAAGCACTGGAATTAGCAGATGAAGCTAGAAGAAGGAGACAGTTTACTGATGTCAACCGCTTCACCCTGAGATGCATGGTATGTCAGAAAGGATTAACTGGACAAGCAGAAGCAAGGGAACATGCCAAGGAGACAGGCCATACCAACTTTGGAGAAGTGTGATCTATGCATGAATGAGGGTTGAAGTCTACTACCTCACAGATCCAGAAGGCTCTGGGTTTTCCAATAAGCTGTCGTAACCCTAAAGAACAAAGGACACAATGCTTGAACCATCCTTTTGACTTAAAACCACTAAGACACTGAAATTCCTTGTTAAGATTAAAATTAGTGTGCAAGTTTACAGATGTGTGTCTACAGTGGTAAACTGTACATACATGCCTCTTTCTGCTGGAGTGACAGAATAGGTGATCCTTGCCACCTACTGACACTGACCTGAAGATTGAGATTGAGTATTATAAACTAGCACCCAGCAGCTTTAACTTGTAGAAGAAAGCATCACATTTTGGGTAATGTGGAAGGCCTCCTGTGAGTCCACTGGACATTTACCACAGTGTCTCCAGTAACCGAGTCTTTTTAAAAACTCTGAATCAGTTAAGTTTCTAAATTATGAATTGATTCATCAAATGAAGATACTCAGAATTGTCCAAACTGATTTTATATTGCAATTTGGTACACTTTATAAATGTGTGCTTAACCACTGATAAGTACATCACAAGCAATTTTTACAGGGATGAGTCTCATCCTTGAGAATGTTATCACAAAACAGGAACTGATTGTGCCCTGTTTAAGATCTCTAGTGTATAAAAAGTAGAATGTATGAGGGAAAAGGTGCCTGAGCAGCTTTCTGAAGCTTTAAAAGACCGTTGGCCTCGTGTTTTAATGCAATTCATGTACTGCTCTTTGTCACATTGGATAACATTTTAAAGTTAAGCAGGGTATTTTTTTAAATTGGAAATTCCTTGAAATTTGAGTCCTCAGTTTTTTCTTCATTTGCATAAAGATTTGTCTGGGGGGATTTAATTTTCTCAGCTTTTTGTTAAGAGCACTTCCTCCAAAAAATTTTTTTCAAGTAATAATGCTCTGCTTTGGGTTGGTTTTTGTAAGATTTTTTGCACACCTAAACAGTGTTTGCTTTTGTGCTAGCCTTATCCCTCCACTAAAGTTATTTTAAATAATTTCACATTTCTGCAAATTAGCACTTTGCTTGTCTGCAATCTTTTACTTTGATTTTTGAAGTTTTAAAGTAATTGGAGTAATACTGTTGAATGAATTTGTTTCACTTCCAAAATAGGAAAAATTGTAAATCCTTGCCTTATGCAGCTTTCTCAGAATTCTGCTTCTTCCTAATACTAGATGTGTAGCCATTTGCTTCGTGGACTAATCCGCAAGGCACACCCTCTAAAACTTAGCTTCACTACAAGATCTTCCAGATAAAGTTTTCTACCTCTTAATTATTCTGATCAGGGATGCTAAATTATAATTTGTTATGTATTATCTCATATAATGTGAA